GCCGGGCCGCGGCGGGCGGCCGGCGGCGAGGCGGGCACGGCGGGCGCGGCGGGCGGCGGGCAGGCCATCGTCTGGCGCAACGTGGTGCTCATGGGGCTGCTGCACCTGGGCGCCGTCTACGCGCTCAGCCTGGTGCCGCGGGCGCAGATCCTCACCCTGCTCTGGGGTGAGTGCGGGGGCTGCGCTACAGGTGGGGCGGGGGGCGAGGGGTGGCCCCCGGCGGCAGCGAGCCGCGCCTCGGTGTCCCTGTGTCCGTGCCCTGTTTACCGGAGCGGTCGCTTTTGTTCCCGAGCCCCCCCCCATCCCGGCCGCTCCCGGGATGCCATTGCCAGCGCCGCGCCGGGGCCTCGGTTGCTGTAGAAACAGGAGGCGCTCTCCCTCCGGTTACATTTACCAGGTTTTTTCTCTTAAACCCCCCTCCCCCCATCCCCTGTAAAGCAGCGGATGTTTTGGTTTAAAGGTCTGATGGAGAATATCTTTTCTAGATGGTTGGTTGGGCTGTTTCCCCTTGTTACTTTCTGAACACCCGTGTTTTCCTGCTCCGGTTTGGAGTAGAAAATTACCTCGTCATTTGTTTCTTGATACATCTTCTCATTAGGGGGTGGGGGTTAAAAGTCGAGAAACAGCTTTAAGATGCCGGCACGGAAAAGATGAATCCGACGGTGCTTTCTGAGGTGAGATGGATTGCTGTGCCTGTCTTCTTGCTAGCCGTGAAAAGCCGAGGATTTGGTTTGGGAAAGAGAATATGAAATACAACATGGTTTTTTCCATCCTACAGAGAGGTCCTCTTTTCTCTACAAAAGAATGATGCTGGGGGATGAGCTACATAGAAGCACTGCAGTATTGTGCCAGGTCTGTCAGGGTTTGTGAGACTATATAGATGGTGAATGTCAGCATCATCCTTCACCAGGGAGATCTGTGTATCGACTAATATAAATCTCGGTGGCCAAGAGGATAAAAACTTGAGTGCTGCTTACAGCTGGTGCCATTTTATGGGTAAAGGACCTGTTTTGGGGGAGCTTTTTGAGTGAGTGGAGAACATAACAACCTGGGACTGTTTTATACAAATAGAGGAAAGAAGGGTCTCTGCTGCAGGAACTCACAGCCATGGAATTTGGATTGTTAGGCTGCCATCATTAGTGTTGAGGTGGTGTTCAGAAGCCCCAGCCAAATTCTTTAGAAATCACGTTTATTTCTTCTGTTTGAAGAAGTCCTAAATCTGTTTTTCACTGGTTTGGTTTTTGATATTCAGTCTGTCTTAAACCCCTAGAAATAGCCACCATTGCTGTTTGCAGTTGGGAAACGAACCTTTCTGTCAGCTTCTCTCCTCTGTTTCTGTGTCCCTGGAGGGGACCTGGATTTCACTGGCTGTGTGGTTTGCACAGTCCATGACCTGGCTTGCTCATGACCAGAAGAGGTTTGGTGGGTGGTTTTGTTTTGCACAGTTTCCTTCTGTGAGCCCTACTCCTCTCGCCTCCCTATTCCTGGTTGTGTTCAGGCTGATTTCATAGTTTACCTTGGCCATAGCTTGATGGTCAGGGAGACCAGGAGAGTCTGTGGGAGCTGTGTGGCCAGAATGCACACCCTGTGGTCTGCTTTCAACCCTTTTAGGTCCTGTAGTGTGCAGGCAGGTGGGCTTTCTTTTTCTATTTTGCCTTTCCAAGAAGACAAGTGAAATCATCTCTGATTTCACTTTGCTTAATTACAGAAATGCCTGAGGCTGGAGCCCAAGGACAGAATTGCCTATTCAGGTCTCCATCATGCGAGGTATTTTTTCCTAGTTGAGATTAAACAGATGCTAAATAATAAACAGGTCTTAATGGCTTTGCAACTTAATGCCTTTCTTGCTGAAAGTGAGAGCCTCTCATTTCTTGACATCGTTATTTTTAACAGCCACCCTAAAGCAGACCACAAAGTTTTTACAGGAGTTTGGTGGGTGGTTTTTACAGGGGCTCCACAGCAGGGAGTGAGTGCATTGGCTCCAGCTGTCCTGGACAGCTGGTCACTCCAAGCTGCTTCTGCATCTGGGTGCTGCAAGGTCTGCTCCCCTCAGAGGGGGTGATGAGCAAGGTGAAAGTACAGACTCTCCTGCTGAATATGTCAGACAAAAGTAGCTTTCTGTCAGGCTGGAGACCTGTTTCTGAGGTCCCTCTGAGAGACTCAGGGTGCATGAAAAAGGGTGGCTGTTGCTCTAGTTAGCAAACCTACCTCGCTTCACTATGGAAGGAACCAACCAGTAAAGTTGTGCCGGAAGGAAAAAGTGTCGATCAGATGTTTCCCTTGCCCTCCCCAGTTCTCCACATCTCCTTCCCTGTGTGGATCAGCTGTGAGGCTGCCTTTCTGTGGGTGGTGGCTGCCAGCCAGCCTTCCGAGCAGGGCTGGCACACTGGCAAAGTTGGATGGCAGGTACGAGTGTAGTGTCAGGTAGTGCAGGGATGTGTGTACGCTGAAGGTGCAGATGGAGGAGCTGCAGCCTTCCATGCATCCCTCCGTGGTTTTCTTTCTCTTCCCAAGCTTGCCTCGGACTTGGGAAGCTTCCCAGTGACCCTCTGCAAGCCCTTGCATTGCTCCCTGCTGTGTTCCCCACCACTGCTCCCTCCCGGGTAAGCTGCGGGAACAAGTGTGCGGGGAGTGGCACGCCAGTGCTGGCTGTGACCTCCGTGGTGTCTGGCAGGAAGTGGGCAGCTTCCCATGACTCACCACTGCCTGCTTGGCTTTTCACTTTCTCCTCCCCCAAGACATCCACCTCTCCGTGTGTTCTCCCCTGGGGGTCTGGGTACAAAGCCTCCCTCTGTGCAGGGTTTGCTTTCCTCCTTCTCACCTCCGAAGGCAGTTGATTCACCACCAATTGCAAAGTGGAGCTGAAATGCCACTGTGCCACCTAGAAAACAGCTGTTCAAGCCAAACTGCCTGCTCAGCAGGGCTCATTTCCATTGGTAATTTATTGACATTTGTCCAGCTGTACATAATAGACAATGGAAAAACGCTGCCAAGCGAAGGCTCAGCTGGTTGTTTACTCAGGATTATCTGTGCTCCTCTGTTCCCATTGCCTCCCACGCTAACACCTTGAGGCCCATGTTACAGCTTCCTGCACCCCACATGGAGCTAGGGTTGCAAAGGGATCCCAAACAGCAATCTGAGTGGTGCAGAATTGAGGATTTGAATTGGTGCAGATCTGGGAATTGGGTTATCTTTCAAGGGAAGTACAGATAAACTGGTTAAAACATAGGCTTTCAGGGCCATCCCAGTGCCTCTGTGGAATTTGATTTCAGTCCAAGCTGAACAAAAACAATAAAATTACTCATGTCAAAATTTTCCATGAGCCGGGAGCTGCTTTGACCCAAGAGGCAGCAGACGGTATGTGCAAGGCATCGAGCAGCCCTGGGCTGTGCCCATGGGACAGCCATGTAACCAGCCCAGAGGATTTGGAATGTCCCCTGCTGTGGCAGCCCCATCCGGCTCACTGGGAGCTCTCTTGCCTTGCTCCTTTCCAGCCTGACTTGTGGTTTGGTGCAGAGGTGTGCAGAGAAGACCCTGTTGCCTTCCCCTTTCCTTCCTAATCAAGAACTGGGCAGCTTGCAATCTGCGGTCCCTCCTTCTTCTTGGTGCTTTGCTGTCTTGTCTGTGCTGTTTTGTAGCTGACAGCTGCTGCTTTGGGGAATCTCTGCACTCTGGGAGTTGTTGGGGAAATGTGCCTTGAGTCTTGTCTGTCCCCTGTTCCACCAGTGGGCTTGCTGGGCATGGCCAGCAGGTTTGCCAGGGTTCACTGGCCATTCTCTAAAGCCCAGAGCATGGTGCAGACCAGGCCTCAGGGAACTGGCACATGGATGTTCCCCTTCAGGTCTGTCCTTGTCCACCTGCTTTTGCAGGGCTTGGAGCTCCTGGAGCTTTGTACCAGAGAGGTTTGGAGGGAAGGCATCAATCACCATCCCCTGCAGACTTGCACAGGGAACCAAAGCAGGGTGAGAGCCCCTCGCTGTGAGTGGGGCAGAGACCAGGGAGTGGTGTGATAGGAGGTCTGCTGGCTGGGCCAAGCATACAGGTGCCCAGGGAGTGAACTTATGCCAAAGGTTCCTTGTGGTCAGCTGGGGCTGTGGATGAGCCTGTGGTTTGCTGATGTCCTCTTTTGGGCTGGACATGCTGCACCACCTTCCACAGGCCACTTGGTAGGACACTGTGCATGGCTCATCCCCTAAGTTAGTAATGTGCTATTAAATGATGCTTCTGAACCAGGAACCTCCTTGCTTCAGCCAGGTCCATCCTGTTGCAGTCCCAGTGAGATCATCTTTTTGTTTCAGGAAAGCAAACCAAAAAACTCTGAAATCCATGTACAGATGACAGGACCCAATGCTAACAGCTCCTAGCAGTTTCTTCTGATGGGCTCATGATAACTTCTTAAAGACTCCATTCTGAGGGATCACGTGATGTGTAAGGGTCTCAGATTTTGGTTGGAAAAAGGTGCTTTTTAGTCTTCACGGAGGAAGTGCTTGAAGTAGCCAAATGCATTTTAGGAAATAGAACACTCCCTAAAAAGATTAAGCTGTTTACCTGTTTTAAAAGCTATTTCAGACTGCTGAGCATTACTAGTACTCACAGATTTAAAAACTGGCACGGGCGTGGCCACCCAGAAACCCCGTATCACCTGGATGGGTTTGGCAGAGCTGCCTGCGAGCGGATGTCAGTTCACAGCCGATGTGCCTTGCCCGAGCCTGGGGCTGGGGAGGAGGATGGCCTTGCTCTAACGGTGCTCACATGGGAGGGGAGGCTTGTTGCTGTTGTTTTAGCAGCTTTTGGGAGGTGTTTTAGTGCTCTTGAGAACGGCAGATTGTTCATGCTCAGCCGTGGCAGGCCCTGTGCCATGCTTACCCACAGCTTTCCCCGCGCACGAGCGCTGCCTGTCTGGGAGCACAGACGGAGCAGTGGTGCTGCCCAGCTGCATCCCCAACAAGGCACAAGCTGCTCCCAGGCAAGGGTCTGGATCCTGCTGCCTGGATGCCTTCAGTAAAAGAGATTAAGGCAATTGTGGTCTCAGCCCTTTGGGTTATTGTGGTGCCTGGAGGGCACCGCCGAGATCGTCGCCTCCTTCTCAGGCCTTCTGGTAGGTGGCATGTCTGTGTAATGAGGCACATGTTGCTGTCGTGCTCTGCAGATGTGAGTTTTATTGGT